GCTATTTGTGTGACTTGTGTGCCTTCAAACTTGAACTACTTGCACATACTTGTTATCTGACAACATGGGTTCCTTGCAGGTTTTGTTTATAGTCCTTATCCAACAATTTGGATTTATTGCAGGGCTTACTTACATCACCTCACACTTGTGCTTAAACACATAGCATACACATCATAACATCATGCCTTAGCATTTCTTTAACCATTTCAAGGATCTCAAGGGTCTGTGATGCAGGTTATGGTAAATCAAATGGCTAGCAAGGGGCAAAGGGGATTTATTTTCCTCTAGCCAAGGTTGTCTAGAAATCCAAGCATGATAACTTGAGTCAGGGGCTATGACCCACTCGATATGGTGAGCTTGACTCTTGAAGAAGGACTCTCAGCAACATGAAGTTCCTTCAATCAAGCTACCAGATTCAGATTCTAACAGTTTCTTGTTTACCCCGCGAGATCCTTGAAAACATTGCATACATATATCATACATATCATTGCATACATATATCATACATATCATTGCATAACAGGTCTCCCAGTACAGGTCTCTTATCTTCTTCGCTGTTTATTTCAGCAACTATCATGTCTACTGAACCTTCCACTGAGCAAGCTATCAAGGCCCTCCAGGCCCAGAATGCCCAATTTCAAGAGTTGGTCATGAGCCTAGCTAAGGGTCAGCAGGACCTGAAGACCCTGATTCTGAAAGAGAGGAAGAAGAAGAAAAAGAGGACCATCCTGTTCAATACTGGACGCAGGTTTGGAAACGGGCTGCAAAACAAAGTTGATCTGACCACTCCATCTGAAGGGAAAGATAGTCCACAAGAAAGGAGGGCTTCTAGCCCTATAGTCTCCGACAACGAGACAGACTATGATGAAGAACAGTATCCTCCTGCTGAGGATAAGTACAAACAACTGGAAGACCGTTTGAATGCTATGGAAATACATAAGGTGCCCGGTCTAGACTTCGAAGATCTAGGTCTATCCTCTGGGGTGGTGATTCCCCATAAATTCAAGGCACCTGCCTTTGCCAGGTACGACTGAGCTTCTTGTCCAAAGCTACACCTCTGGTCATATGTGAGGAAGATTCAACCCTATACTGCTGATAGAAATCTTTGGGTTCATTTCTTTCAAGATAGTCCGTCAGGGACTCAACTTGAATGGTTCTGTCAACTGGAAGGAGCTAACATCCGCAACTGGGAGGACCTTACTGCTGCTTTTTACAAGCAATACCAGTATAATGCCGACCTTGCTCCCACACGTACTCAGCTTCAGGGTATGTCTATGGGTACAGGCGAAGGCTTTAAGGACTACGTTCAGAAGTGGAGAGATCTTGCCGGAAGAGTCCAACCCCCTCTGTCTGATAGGGAGTTGGTGGACATGTTTCTTGGGACTTTGTCTGGTCCCTATTTCAAACACTTGATCGGAAGCTCTTCAGCCGGGTCCACCGAGCTAATACTGACCGGTGAAAGGGTCGAAGCTGGCATCAAAAGAGGGATGATTCAAGAAGCTACACCTTCCGATGCTCAGAAAAATCCCTACAATGGTAAGAAAGAGTCTAACACTGTGTATGGTCAAAAGAGTCATCATGACCAACACGTAGGAGAAATCTTGATCTCTAATCCTACACCTGCTCAACAAAGACAGGGGCATCAGCGTAAGGAGGTCGTGCCTAAAAGACAATTCGCTAAGATCAACATGTCACTGGGTCAAGCGCTACAACGCCTGTTGGAGGCAGAGCTGATTACATTAAAGGCTCCTCTCCGGAACCCAAATACTTCCGCTCCTACCTATCATCCCAATGAAAGGTGTGCATACCACTCTGACAGTCCGGGACATGACACAAACAACTGTTGGGCTCTGAAGAACAAGATCCAAGACATGATTGATGCCAAGGAGATCAAGTTTGACCCTCCGGAGACTCCAAACATAATCACTGCTCCTATGATGAATCATTAAAAGCTTTTGTTCATTTGAATTTTCAAGTTGTAATCTCTTTGTTATTCAAACAATTATCTATTAATGCCAAACTTTGTTTCATTAATGCATTGCACATGTTTGTCTTGATTTGATCCAATCATTTTAATTACTATTAAACTATGCTTTTTACTCTCTTTATGACATTCAACTCTTGCTAAAAGTTACAAGCCTTTATAGGGAGGATGACGAAACAATGCCATAATCTCATTACAGTATGATTTTGGACAGACCTTGCTGACGATGTACAGGCATTTCTTTCAAATCCTAAACACTGGAGTTATAAGGAAGATAATCCCTAGTCAACCCCTTCGAGCCAAAGAAGTAGGAGTTTTCTTTTTTAAACACAAATTGAAACCTTTAATTTAAACCTGGGGCAGGGTAGTCTCTCAGTTAATTCAAAAGATGCGCATTGAAGTCGCAAACACTACAAGAAAATTGGCAGATTGCGACAGGTATTTTTGTAGATTACGACGGTTAAAACCGTCGCAATTTGCTTTCCATGACGGTTGCTTTACCGTCGCAGAAGTGTGTGTCCCCAACCTATTTCGCGACGGTTATAAAAACTGTCGTTCAAGTTTACGACGGGTTTGGAGCTGACATAATCAAGTATTGGTGACTGTTTGATACCGTCGTGACTATCTTTTGAGTTTCTTTTAATTATTGATGGCGACGGTTCGATACTGTCGTGAATATCTTTTGAAATTGATTAAATTGTTTATGGCGACGGTTCGATACCGTCATGACTTTTGTTGATTATTTTTAATTGTTGATTACGACGGTTCGGTACTGTTGCCATGACTTTTGTTTATGTCTTGATTTTTTTTTATTTTTCTATTATATATATTTTTTATTTAAATTATTATCTATGTAAAAAAATTTAAATATAATTTTTTTTGTGTTATTTTTTTCTTTAAATTATTTCTTCTTTAATATATTTATTTATAGTATTATTTTTTGTTTTATTTTCTATCACTTTGTAATATAGTAAAAATAATTTCAATAAAAAATATTTAACATCAAATAAGTATTATAATATCCAAAAAAATGTGTGTTCCATAATCATGTAAAATGCGAGTTCCATAATCATGTCAAGTAGTACAAAAAACCCAAAATATATCAATTCCTAATCTTATAATAATAAGTATCATTATGCCAAAAATACATGAGAAAGTTCACAATCTAATTATCTCGATCATAGCAAAGTCTAATTTGTCCCCCCTGAAGTTCCATTATCTCCAATACGGTAGCTAGACTCAGATGAACGTCTACCATCAGCGGGTGATTCCAATCCCTAAAAAAAGGTATTAAAATAATAATCTTTAAAATAATACTCATAAAATTTAAATTTAAATGCGTCAAAATAATATACCTGTCTTCCACTAAAATTCTGCATTTGCATTAAGAGTTCAATTTCCTTTGTCCTCGCCTTGTCCCTTTGCGTTAAGAATATGATTGCCTGTGTTAATTCATCAATTTTTGAATTCTTTTCTTTAAGTGCATTAATTTCTTCTTGCATTTCCTTTATTTGTTCACTTTCTGCATAAGAAGATGTCGATCTCGTAGATCTATTAATTTGAGATGGTGTAACTCCAAGTCCCATACTACGAACATATCCATGCTTTTCTTTTCCAAATACTTTCTGAAATGCCTCATTTTCAGACACAGAATCCTTAATTGCAGCTTGTAATTTTTTCTGCACATGAAAAAGAAAAAATTAAGCTATTGTTTATATAACAAGAATAATATATTGGGGGAGAACCTCTTGATCAAATCATGGACTTCCATATATACGTAAAAAGAAGTTGGCACAAACTAGGAGGTGGCACAAACTATTGCAATTGGACTTGAATAATACTGTTGGTATATAATTTTGACATTTTTGCCATGAATAATAAGAAAGCAGTACATTGAGCAATGGTAAGGATTGTTATTCATTATTATTTTGAGTCTCGATCCCCTGCCCCTCCTCAAAAAAATCCCTTTATAATATGTATTAAGTGTAGTAGTACTGATGCTTTCAACTTGTGCAGGAGGGATTGTTGCTTTGTATTCTCACCTTTGCAAAAATGCAAAATTTTGTTTGCTTCCTAATCATCAAACATCTGATGAGGAGCTATCTACATATCGCAAGCCTGGTTACTCAAATAGAAATATACCACCCTCATATTTGAAAAAATTCATTGAAAAACATAAGAGCACAAATGAATGAGTTAATATATCAACTAAGACAATAAAAAAGAAGATATGGATACCTTAGGTTTTAGAAAAAGAATATTATGTTCACTATCTATGACTTTTGTCATGTCCTATTACCTACATTATCTCTCCTGTTATACTCCAAACTCCCTGTCTGGTTCATGGATTGTTTCAAAGAAAAAATCATGGTGTATTGGGTAGGTTCTGCTATGTGACATGGAGAATTGTTTACAAGAAGTTCAGTAAAGCTTGCTATCCACCATTCTTCAGTATAAACAAAATCACTCTAGGATATTTATTCTGAAATTTCCGACTAAAGTTACCCCACAGTTTTCAATGTTTCAAATATATGTCAAATGCAGCATAGGTGATTTTTCCATTCCAACATACGCTTCTAATCTATGCAGGTATGATGCCTCTTATTTCCTGTGTTCTACTGGTTGGTCTCTTTATTTTGCAACACCGTGGCTCCCACGCGATTGCTTTCATGTTTCCTCCCATAATCATCCTATGGTTACTTTTTATTTTCACGATTGGCATTTACAATGTCATCAAGTGGAATCCAAGCATATTTGGGATTTACAATATTTGGGATTTTCACGATTGGCATTTACAATATCTATTTTGAGGTTTTCTTATTATCTAATAGGATTTTTCCAGTGGTGAGTTATATTTGGGATGGTTCTATTACTATTACCGTTTTTTTTCCAGTATTTCAAAAGAATTAACTTGTACTTACATTATTGTTGTATGCATCTTCATTGATAAATGACCCGTTAGGCTTTTTATGAGAAACTGCATACATTTCTCCTCTGTTGTATGTTCGTCCATCTCTCATTTCCTACAAATAAAAACTAATATAAATTGTTTGTACTATCAAGCAAACGATCAACAACATATAGATTTAGACATACCAACTCATGTTTCTTCCTTGCAAGCGACTTAGATCCGAGTGTATGCGGAGCCTTCAATTTTGCTCTATTTTGGGAATTTTTTTGGGATATTTTCTACATTTGTAACAAATAAAAACATGCATTATAGATAGGGATAACATACAAACCAGAGAAATCTAACAAATAAAAACACTAATGTTACCTGTGTTTTTTCTTATTTACTTCAATCTCTCCAGGTTGTACAAACCTTGAACGGCCCTTCACAGACTAAATAAAATACATTAGTGAATATTAGTAAATAATAAGTACAATTAATTTGTATGGAGTAGTATAGATAATTTATGACTGACCAGTGATGGTTTGGAAGAAGACTCTGATGATTTGTGAAGGGATTGAGAGAGTGTAGGAAGATTGAGAGCCGCTAACTTTTTCTTATTCTCTGCAATTCTTTTGAGGCGACTATTCTCATATGGTGTAGTCATTGTCTCACAAAAGGCTTCAACTGCAAGTATAGGTATTAAGTACACTAAAAGTAGTAAACATCAAAATTATATATTAGTGAATACAAATTTAATAAACATAACATAAACACAATAAATTAAAAACATAGAGTAACAATGTCATCTAACATATTAATTTACTGTGTTTTAACCAAACTAACATTTTATCAATTAACAATTGACATTAAGAGACAATCGATTTTCTACTAGCCAGCGGAATTCCAAGATACTTGAAAGCCATTGACCCAAACAAAATCGATTTTTCCTCTTGAATGAGGTTTAAAGTATCATCATCCACATCCCCAAAATAAATTTTACTTTAAGAAACTTTTAGAGATGCTAATCTTCATGCCCGTAGAAATTGAGAAGTCTCTAATTTTGTTCATGATCAACTTTACAGATATTTTGAAAATTAAAATATAATAATAATAAACACATTTAAATTAAAAACACTAAAAAATATATTTTTTTAAATCTCTATTTTTCCATACAATCTCCTCTCCAAAAGCCTTTTGCTTACCGGCATACACAGAAAAATTTCTCTAATTTTCAATTTTTCTCAAATTTCTCATTTCTCTTTCATAAATGATCAAATTTCTCATTACTCTTTCATTCCATAAGTGAACACTAACTTCATAATATAAAATTATCCACGAAGAATACGTTAAAAACGGAACATACGTGCCACATCAAATCTTTAAGAGACATATATTGTGGTTAAAAGGCTAACGATGTGCACATAAGACTGATTTGTTACCAAAACAAACTTAGAAATTAACTTATAACAAGCATCTAAGTTAAAGGACAGCAAAATGTATTTAGCCAAACATGAAAAGCATCTAAGTTAAAGGACAACAAAATGCGTTTAGCCAAACATGTATATGATCATAAATTACCTTAACAGTTCCAAACACATTCCATTCAAAATTACTGCCATCTTATTTAACTGTTTTTGGTAAAAGCTGGCTACTTTAACCAGAATTGATTCATGTTCCCCAACAAAAGTGATACATAGCCCAAAAACAAACTACCTACACAGTTTTAAACCCATTCCATCCAAAATTACTTTCATATACTAAAGCGTTATTTTGGCAACAGGCAAGAAGACCATAATGCTTAATCTTCCCGAACAAAAATCCATACAAAATTAAAAAGCATCAAAAAAATTTTATAACAATATTACCCGAGCAACATCCAAAGTGTCAAAACAACCAAAATCTTCATTGTAACAACATTTTGCCCATTCATGGATCAACCATCACAACTCACAACCAGAAGTTTGTAATCTTCGACAACACTACACTTGTTCATATGCAAAGTACTTCATCTTCCAACAATAAGAGGATTCTTGTTCTTGTAAATGTAATAGCTCATACACAATTTCTCTAAAGTTGCAACAGAATGCTGCATAGGATTTAGCTTTATATCCATCATCATTCTCTGCCATAATAACAACAAAACATTAAACAGCCTCCTAACAGCAACATTTTCACTTTACAATGTTAATATATCTTCAATTGAAATTAACATGACAACAGATCAAACCTGAAAATCAGCTCCATATTTCTCAACTAGCCGACTAATATAAAGATGCTGAATCGAAGTCAAAGGTTGAGGAAGTGCACTTTTACCATCTCTTCTTCTCTTTCCCAGTGCCGATTTCAAATCTACACCACAAAATTCATAAAATTTACATGCATTTCAAAAAAATATAAACAATTTCTGATACTAAAATACACGAAAATACCGTCTTCTTCGAGGTCACTGCCGGAATCGTTGGGGTCATCGGAGACAGAAGGAGGATCTCGAAGAGAATCGGTGAGGGAGTTAGGGTCATTGACGACGCCGAAGGAATTGTAGTTTTGTGTGACGCTGCCTTTTTCATCCCATTTAGGGTCTTCTACAAGGGATTGTAACAGTTTGGGAGGAATGGTGAAAGCGGGTTTCAAAACTTTAGGGTTCTTCTTTGGAAGACCCACACGAACCTTAGGTCGAGAATTCTTTTATTTTCTTCGTGAGTAGAAAAAGTGAACGCAGGAGTAGAAAGTGAATTGATGTTTTATGTATTTTAAGAGCTTTTTAACTTTTTTACGGCAACGGGTGTTTTACCGTCGTGCCCATGAGAATTTTTAAAGGTTTTGGGTGCGACGGTTGTTTTACCGTCGTGAAATGAATTTTAGGACGGATAATTTTACCATCGTGAAAGGTTTAAGGGTGCGACGGGTGCTTTACCGTCGTGATATGCCTTTTAGGACGGTTAATTTTACCGTCGTGACTAGTTGTTGGTGAAAAATCAATGTTAAAAGTGTTAAATGGGGGCCGACGGTTGTTTTACCATCGTAATAATAATATTATGATGGTTAATTATACCATCGCAAAATAAATATTAGGGACGGTTGGTGTCAACTGTCGTAAACACTGTCTCTATATGTCAATTACGACAGTTATCACATAACTGTCGCAATTTTTGTGTCGTTAAACACTAATTTTCTTGTAGTGAAAACTCTCAGTTCATAATACAACGAACGACATCAAAAGCATTCCTCTGGAATCAAAAGACAGTGGTGGTTCCTTATCTCATAGGCAGTCAATCTCTCAAAAGAAAAAGCCCACTGAGCCAAAACCTATAAAGGAGGCTTAAGGAAGCTGGGGCATCCCGCTGACTGTAATCTCGAAAACAGGAACAGTCAGGAAAAAATTAGGGATAACAAATCAAAAGAACGAGGTCGCTATAAATCCTCAACAACATGAAAAATATTGCAAAAATGATGACTGCCTTCAAAAATCCAACTTGTGTGAACCATCGCCAAAACGTCGTTCCAAATTCTAATAGAGTGCGACACACAATTAACTGAGTTTAGGATTGAAGAACATCACGAAGAGCGGGTGGGACAAATATATTTTGAGCCTTTATCCTTTGTTTCTTAAACCGTGAACCAAGCCACGTTACAACCCTTCAAAAGTCCTAACTGAAGCATGGGTTAGTTCGAAAGTGTACTGTTACAAAAGGTATCCTGACTCCTGTAAGGCTTTGCCCTAAATATTGTGATGAATTTGTCTTATAAAGAGTTTTCTGCTAAAAAACGCATTGTTCAAAACTTCGAGACAAGCATAAACTTTGCATTATTTGAATATCACTGTTTGCATTTGGCTATTTGTTTAACAGTGGAGAAATTCACACAATGAATATCCAGTAAACAAAAGCTCTCTCAGTGAAAAAAATCAATTCAAGAAGGATGACACTTCCATTGACAAATCTCCTTCCAATCAAGGGGCATGGCATGATCATTGTCCATCACCTGGGGCAGTCCAGTCAAGATTTCAAGAAATCTTTGAAGAAGTGCAGAGTAACCAGGGGCAAGTCCCCATCTCCGTCACTTGGGGCATTGAACATCAATCTCAGTGAAGGGTTACGTACAATTAAACATTTTCTGGCAATGTCACAAACACTTGCTACTTGGGGCAATGACATATCTCCCCAAAATCCTTCTCATAGGATAACTCCCAGCAAAGGTTTAATCCCTGAAAACCTTTCCCCGGCTGAATTAACCTCAAGAATCCTCGAGGACTTCCACCAACAAAGATGTCACCTCTCTAGCGGACTGACGACATGGTTTATTTCCCCAACAACACCAGGATTCCCCAGCTTGAGTTTGCCTCTCCGACTACTACAAATCAAAGGACCAGAACTCCTCTTCCCCAGTAGACTACTCTACAATCCCCAGCAAGTTACTGCGAAACCTGGACACGACCAGATATCAGTTCAACTTCAACTCCCCAGTAGAGCAACGGACGACTAAGACTCCTAAACTCTTTTCCCAAGCAGAAATAAACATACTCCCCACAGAGTTTTCAATATCCCCCAGCGGAGTTCTCCTCAAACAACAAAGCAGGGACCCATGGTGGAAACATTTTGAGCAAAGTCCAAGACAAAATTACACTTCAACATTCATAACATATGCATACAAAATACATATGACACAAATCTCATTTTATTTTGAGAACATCGTTACACAATGCATACATCATAACAATGCATACATCATGACATTGCATACAACTAACTCTTTACCTTTTCAGGAAAGATCAATCAACAGGCAAAGATCATCATCTTCTGAGATTCCTTCTAGAGACAGTTCAGATGCGACCCAGATATGGCTGACATTCTGATACTTATTCCAGATCCCTTCTAGAGACAGTTCAGATGCGACCCAGATATGGCTGACATTCTGATACTTATTCCAGACTCCTTCTAGAGATAGTTCAGATGCGACCCAGATATGGCTGACATTCTGATACTTATTCCAGACTCCTCCTAGAGATAGTTCAGATGCGACCCAGATATGGCTGACATTCTGATACTTATTCCAGACTCCTTCTAGAGACAGTTCAGATGCGACCCAGATATGGCTGACATTCTGATACTTATTCCAGATTTCTTCTAGAGACGGTTCAGATGCGACCCAGATATGGCTGACATTCTGATACTTATTCCAGAATCCTCCTAGAGACAATTCAGATGCGACCCAGATATGGCTGACATTCTGATACTTATTCCAGACTCCTTCTAGAGACAGTTCAGATGCGACCCAGATATGGCTGACATTCTGATACTTATTCCAGATTTCTTCTAGAGACGGTTCAGATACGACCCAGATATGGCTGACATTCTGATACTTATTCCAGACTCCTTCTAGAGACAGTTCAGATGCGACCCAGATATGGCTGACATTCTTATACTTATTCCAGATTTCTTCTAGAGACGGTTCAGATGCGAACCAGATATGGCTGACATTCTGATACTTATTCCAGACTCCTTCTAGAGACAGTTCAGATACGACCCAGATATGGCTGACATTTTGATACTTATTCCAGACTCCTTCTAGAGATAGTTCAGATGCGACCCAGATATGGCTGACATTCTGATACTTATTCCAGACTCCTCCTAGAGACAGTTCAGATGCGACCCAGATATGGCTGACATTCTGATACTTATTCCAGATTCCTTCTAGAGATAGTTCAGATGCGATCCAGACATGGCTGACATTCTGACATTTATTCCAGATCCCTTCTAGAGATAGTTCAGATGCGACCCAGATATGGCTGACATTCTGATACTTATTCCAGACTCCTTCTAGAGATAGTTCATATACGATCCAGATTCGGATGTCATTCTGTCACTCATTCAAAATACGGTCCAGATACGATCCAGATTAGGATGTCATTCTGTCACTCAAATTACAGTCCAGATACGATCCAGATTCGGATGTCATTCTGTCACTCATTCAAATTACAGTCCAGATACGATCCAGCTTCAGATGTCATTCTGTCACTCATTCAAAATACAATCCATATACGATCCAGGTTCGGATGTCATTCTGTCACTCATTCAAATTACAGTCCAGATACTATCCAGATTCGGATGTCATTCTGTCACTCATTCAAATTACAGTCCAGATACGATCCAGATTCGGATGTCATTCTGTCACTTATTCAAATTACAGTCCAGATACGATCCAGATTTGGATGTCATTCTGTCACTCATTCAAATTATAGTCCAGATACGATCCAGATTCGGATGTCATTCTATCACTCATTTCAAATTACAGTCCAGATACGATCCAGATTCGGATGTCATTCTGTCACTCATTCAAATACATTTCAGATACGCTCCAGATGCAGACGCAATTCTGACAATCATCCAGACTCAACTCTATTCTCCAGCAGCTCCGGGATTTATTTTCCTAGCTAAAACATCACACTTCCCTACGTCATAGTGTGGACGAGTACTATAACCTCAACGGTATACTCCATTGAGCACGAGTCAGTTCCTAGATCTTGATGTTCTCCTCCGTCATAGTGTGGACAAGTTCTATAACCTCAGCGGTATACTCCCGGTGGACACGAGACAGTTCCTAGATCTTGATGAAGATGCTTCCCCCCCAATTGAATTATGAACAGGTTCTTAAAACTCAGCTGAAGCATTCTCTCAGTTGAAGTACATGCAGGTTCCTAAATCTCAACAAGGTTCGACTTCCCCAGTGGAATCTTCTACAACAACAGGTATGCAAGTTCTCGCTAAGGAATCTCTTATGCGATCGACACTCCTGCAGATGGCATCTATAAGCCCATCCTCCTACCAACAATCTCCAGATGGCATCTATAAGCCCATCCTCCTACCAGCAATCTCCAAATGGCATCTGTAAGCCCATTCCCGACATCACAATGCTGATACTACACCATGCGAGTGCAAATTTCTGGGCACTCTAGTGTTCAATTATCTTCCTCCTTCGGATCACGAAAGGCTCGAAAGCCAATCTATATCCTCGGGTTTAAGAAAATTGAACAGGGGCAACTGTTGTACCCTAAAATTTTGCCCTCTCATGTTTTCCAAAGTCTTCCCCCTGCATGGTTGATCACAAACCCTTGCCTAAGGAAAAAGAAAATTTTTGAGTGTTGCTTTAAGTACCTTTCGATTGGCATTCTGAAAGACCCTTCGATTGGCATTCTGAAGGAGCACTTCGATTGGCATTCTGAAAGACCCTTCGATTGGTATTCTGAAGGAGCCTTTCGATTGCCATGGACAAGCACTTCGATTGGCATCATGGACAAGCACTTCGATTGGCATTCTAAAAGACCCTTCGATTGGTATTCTGAATGAGCCTTTCGATTGGCATTATGGACAAGCACTTCGATTAGCATTGTGTCAAGCAGCTTCGACAGGCATGTGAACCATGTCCTTCGATTAGCATGAACATCACCTTTCGATTGGCCTGTTAACAAAGCCTTTCGATTGGCCTGTTAACAAGGCCATCAAGAGGGCACTCAAAACATGTCCAGGTACACTGAACATGAGAAAATGGCATGTTTCCCTTGCAAATATAGAAATAATTAAATGCTGATTGTGGAGTTAATTCCTGAGTTAAAGGCCAGATTCTTGCCTTTTCTGTTCCTAAAGAGATGATTCGACCAGAGGGATTCTTTTCAAATCAAGCAGTCGAAGCAGAAGGAGTCCCATTCGAAGGAGGCAAATCAAGACCAATCGAAGAGCAGGGCCTGAGGGCATTCGAAATTCAAAACTGTCCAGGTTCATTCAAGAGACACGAATGTTTCAAAAAAGGAAATATTTTAATGTGTCTGATTCTTGTCTCATGGCTTTAATGGCATGTTTAATTGGCTGTCTCTTACCGTTACTAGACCCCCACACTCCTATAAATACAAAGGTCAGTGGCATATATCCAGGACGGGGAAAAACACACAGAAAAAATAGAGAAAAGAAACAGGAAACATTGGAGAGGCGCTGCCCATACAATCCATCAAAGGTTTCCGGAATTTTCCAAGCCAAAGCCGTCCTTCAGATCAAAGTTGCCCACGCCCAGAAGCCCTCAGATTGAAAGTGCTCCCATCCAGCCAGTACCCAAATCGAAGACTCAATCTGCAGGTAAGAGAGGGTAAATTGTAAAAACTTTTCATTTTGCATAACACCTCTATATTTTCTATCCCATTCGATTTGCCATCCTAGACATAATTCAAAGGCCTGGGTTTGGCGCCCAGGTCATGTTCCTCGTTTTCTAACACTTACTGCAGACATAGCCTGAAGAGACTCAGCAAGCGCAGGATTGAAAGGCCTAGGGTTCAATACCCAGGCCCTACATTTTATTTCGCTAACATACTTTTGCAGGTATAACATTACAGATCGAAGGAGACACCTTCTCTGGATCGAACCCATTAGCATGCTGGATCGAAGGAGGCATCTCATTCCTGGATCGAAAGCCATGACCTCCATGATCAAAAGACAATCCTCTTCCCTGGATCGAAGGCTACTCACGCCTTACTGTCTGGCCCAATCGAAAGGACCATGACCCTCTCTGGATCGAAGCTTCCATTCCCTCCTTGGCTCTGAGCTCCTTTTTTCCCTGGATCGAAGGATCCCCCTTGTATTTTATTTTTGTTTTCATTGACATCTTTTTATCTTTTTTAATTAACATTAAAATCAAAAAAACCACAAAAACATTAGGCTAGTTTTTTTTCTATTAAATTAACTTTGTCAATTAATCTTTTAATTATCTTAACATTTTCTCAAAACTAAAATGAAATAGATTTAGATCATTTTCCCAAAATAAAATAAAACAACAAAAAGATTTTATTCTTAGATTTTTAGAGGTTATTTTCAGATTCGCGCGCGTTTATTTTATTGTAACTGCTTATTGGTTTCTAATAGCTTAACTAAGACTTTTACTTTACTGCTTTATTCCCCCAATTTTGGACATGTAAATAATCCCCCTCCCCGAAGCCTTGTAATAGCGTAGGATTTACAATTCCCGCACTTTAAATTCCTGTACATATATTAACTGTTTAGATGTGTGCTAACTAGGCTATGCATGACAAGATTAACTCTTAACTTAAAATCAACAATAGTTCACCATGACATGCAAAGATAATATAGCTGAAAATTGGCACACTTACACATGCCACTCCTAGGGTATACCTCACTTGGTTGCCTCGAACGTGGTCATTGAGTATAGGAAGTCTTAGAGGTCACCCTCCTGTCCAAAGCTCAAAAGTTGCCTCGAAATAGTTGCCTCGATAAAAATGATCTAGGACATTAGGGTTACCGCTAAAGCATCCTAACATTGCTTTAGTGACCACATGTCCCTAAAATCGAATTGACCCAAAAACTCCAACGACGGTGCTACCTACTCCTCAATAGTGGGATAGCACTGTCTAAAGACATTTGCACAGTTTAATTCCTTTTTGAGTAGGTAGAGGTTCTTAAGTACTTGCTCCTTTTAAAAAATAAAACAGAACTTTTTCGCACTCACACTCTCTTTAAAAACAAAACTCTTTTCAAAACCCACAAACACAAAGAAAAGCATACTTTTGAAAACATAGTGAGCAAGTACCTAAGAGCCCGTGGATAACCACGGATAGAAAGGGTGCTAACACCTTCCCTTTCTTTAATCTACCTCCCAAACCCGAGAAACATCTCGAAAAGGAATTTTTCTATGCTTTTGTCCTTTCCTTGTTGGATAAAATAAAAGACGGTGGCGACTCTTGCTTACCGCGACATTTTGCAAAAACAAACGCAAACGCGAACCAGCATTCCAAAAACAGTCAGTTCTATTCCCACTGATCACATCATGAAACACTAACGAACTCTTAGAACCTTACTTGACCATCTTGGCCTTTTTAGGGGTAGTGAGGTGACCGGCTTTGGTGCAGTCCAAAGTGGGTAGATACTCGATACTACACTCATTGAGGATTGTTTTCTTAGAATATTTTGGTCGCCAGTTAAGTGGCTAAACCAAAACAATGAACATAGAAAATAATCCAGTGATATTGAGCTCCTTAGAACCCGGTTTCTATTTATAGGACATGTTGAGCCAACTAACTTCAAGAGGGTACTTACCTACAAACCCCATGCAAGCCTAAACCTAAGGACTTGTCTTCTTTGTATGAATGTGATTATCTGTATATACACTTGCTTACTTTTGCATACCTGTACATAACATCATAACATCATGCCATAGCATTTTCAATGACCATTTCAAGGATCTCAAGGGTCTTTAATGCAGGGTCACGTTGAACCAGACGTCTACCAAAGGGCAAGAGGACTTTCCTCTAAACAAAAGCCATCGGAGATCAAGTACAACAACTTAAATCGAGGGTTATGACCCACTTGACATGGTGAGCTTAATTCTCGTGGAAAGACATCCACCGATACAAAGTTCTCCAATCAAAGATGTTGATCAAAGTTCAACCTCTAACATTTTCTTGTGTTTACCCCAAGAGATTCTTGAAAACATGCATCCATATATCATGCATTGTATCATGACAGGTTTTCCCTTTCAGGTTTCCTTATTCTCCTACTGTTTGTTTCAGTAGAGATGGCTCTAGAAAGGACTGTCGAAGATATTCAGGCTCAAAACGCTCAACTTCAAGAATTGTTCTTGAACCTATCCCAGGGTCAAGAATAAGTGAAAGCTCTCCTCACAAGGGGCGTGGTCCTAGGGAATCCAGGCGGCATCAGGAATGATCAGTTGGAAGGGATACAAATTGAGTTGGCAACAATGAAGATCCAGATGATGGGACAACTGGTGGGACAAATGGCTCTCATTCAAGACCTGGCTCAAAGATAAGAGGAGCTCAGGGTTCTCGTCAACAAACTGCTTCAAGATAACCAAGTGGGGCAAACAACTAAGGTTGAAGATCAAGTCATCATTCAACCTCCTTTGAGACAAGAAGACAAGGGAAAGGCTCCCCAGCTTGCCTCGGGGTCACAAGCCCATCAACAACCTCGCCAGCGTCAACGGGGTAATCGGCGTAAGCAAAATACGTCTGGAAGACAGTTCACTGAGACCGACATACCATCATCTCTAATACTGGAACGCTTGTTGGAGGTCAATCTGACTTCTTTAAAGGATCCTATTCGGAAGCCCAATACCTCTGCTCCTAGCTATCACCCCGACACATTTTGTGTATACCACTCCTATAGTCCTGGACATGACACCGACGACTGTTGGGCTTTGAAAAACAAAATTCAAGATTTGATTGACAATGGAGTGTTAAAATTCATGCCGGATGGCGAGATGAAAATTTTCCGCTGAGGGTTCTCCACCTGAAATGACAAGTTCGAACTAAGAGGCTTTTGTTTCATTTGAATTTTCAAGTTGTAATTTCCTTTGTTATTCAAACAATTATTTGTTGATGTCAAACTCTGTTTCATTAATGCATTGCATATGTTTGTCTTGAATTCATCCATTCGTTTTCACTATTCTTGAATTATGCTTCCTACTTTCTTTATGATATTTAACTCTTGATAAAAGTTACAAGCCTTTAGAGGGAGGATGACGAAACAATGCCATAATCTCATACGGTATGCTTTTGAACAGACCTTGCTGACGATGTACATGCGTTTCTTTCAAATCCTAAGCACTGGAGTTATAAGGAAGATAATCCCTAGTCAACCCCTTCGAGCCAAAGAAGTAGAAGTTTTCTGTTTTAAACACAAATTGAAACCTTTAATCAAACCTGGGGCAGGGTAGTCTCTCAGTTAATTCAAAGGATACGCATTGAAGTCGCAAACTCTCAGTTTGTAATACAACGAATAACATCAAAAACATTCCTTTGGAACCAAAAGACAGCGATGGTTCTTTATCTCATATACAATCATTATCTCTCCAAAAAAAGCCCACTGAGCCAAAAACCTACGAAGGAGGTTTAAGAAAGCTAGGGCATCCCGCTGATTGTAATCTCGAAAACAAGAACAGACAGGAAAAAGTTAGGGATAATGAATCAAAAGAACGAGGTCGTTATAAATCCTCAACAACATGAAAAATGTTGCAAAAATGACTTCCTTCCAACAAATTCAACTTGTGTGGACCATCACCAAAACGTCATTCCAAACTCGAACAGAGTTTGACGCACAATTAACTGAGTTTAAGATTGAAGAACATAACGAAGAGTGGGTGGGTACAAATATACTTTGAGCCTTTATCCTTTGTTTC